TGACATGAGGGGGAGCAAATGATAACACTTTTTTTTTTTTTCCCTTTAAGCTCTTCTGAAGTACTGTAGCAAGCTTGAAGTCAGTTGATCATGCGATCGGACAGATGATGGACATATCATCAGCAGTCACTCAACCTTTTGTTTTAAGTTTGAGATAGAATTGAACATTTGACCTCATCAGTGAATATTTGAATAATGTCAAGTGAGCCAGTGAGTCACTGGGGCTACATTAAAACTTCCATATTTGTACAGTACATATAACCCGATCAAATTATTCAGCACAGGATTTGACTGTCTGTCTTTTTCTTAAAACAACAAACCGATGGAAGAAAAAAACCCTTTCCAAAATGTGTTTAGTTATAGCAATGAGTCAGCTTCCATTTAATAACCAAGAAGTAGTGAGGTGTATGTATGTGTGTGAGACTGTGAGGGATGTCTGGGTAGAATTAGTCTGGGCTTTGGTGGTGGTTTGGTAGCATCTGGTGGCCTGATGTGCGGTGTGATGGCAACAATCTCTGCGGCTAATGGAATCACTCCTAATTAACTCAGAGCTTTGGCTTCAATCAAACTCAGTCTAAATACTATCTCTTTTCTTTGTGTCTACCACTGAAGTCATGATCCAGCAGAATCCATGTAATGGCCCCACAGCAGACAAATTTCATGGGCTTTTCTGGAATCTGAATGCATATGGAACAGACAACCGCTGCCTCTAGAGAGGTATTATGTAAATTGAAAGGATAGGTTTGTGGAGGCAAGATCCCATGTGCTACAGTTTAAGACTGTAATCCAAAACTTGTCTCACAATAGATCATTTATATTTTAACAGACCTAGAAGGAATAAAAGACAGAATAGAGTTTGTTGAATACAATTAGGCCCTTTTCAAGGACTTCACAGTTCTCAGGGTAGTAACAGCTAGAGTAGACATTTGATTAGAAATATTTGGTTATCCTTTAACACATGTAGGCCTATTATTATTATTATTTTATTAATTATAATAATAATAATTGTTATACATTATTGTTATAACTAAATTAAATTAATTACATTTAATAATAATAATAATAATAATAATAATAATAATAATAATAACAATAATAATAATGATAAAGTTGGCACTGTGGTTATTATTATTATTATTAGTAGTATTATTATTTATAGCTTAAAATATTAAAAAATGATTTTTACACGGCACCCCTGCTCTCGACAGACGGCACACCGGTTGGGAAACACTGCTCTAGGGTGCATCTGGGCTGAGCAACATAGTGTGCACTTGCAATCTATTTCTAACTTCCAGTTGTTTAAGATAAAAATTTAGGCAAAACTCCATCCCTAAAAGCACATTTCACATAATTTGTAAATTAAAGTTATCATCATTATGGTAGAATGACAGACAGGTTTAGAGGGCTATGTTGCAGATTGCACCATCAAATCAAACATCATTATCTCAACATATTACTGCTACTCATGTAGAGCAGAAAACCTTGCCACTGCATGCTCCAAGTATGTGATGCAACTATAGGTGTTAGACACTGTTATTTTGCTTTATTGTCTCTAAAAGTGTGATAAATACTCTCGCCTATTTACTGTACTTTGAGTCACTCACTTTTATTAAACATTTTCCATCCAGAAGTACATTTCTGATACAGTCATCTAAAAAATAGAACATCCAGTTCTTCTCTCGTCCCGAGAAACATAACGCCATGAACAGATACAATCAGGCTATTCATTATCACTTCAGCATGTTTCATGATCTTGAGCCACATCACATCAGTTCGTACATAACTGGGAAATTGTATGATTCATAAATCATGACATTTATGCTATTCACAATTAATATATCATTAAATACTACAATAAATTAATAAATACAGATAACACGTTTTGTGTATGATAGAGTGGCTGCTTTACAACAGCGCCCCCTAATGACAAATGAGAAATCTGCAGACTGTTCCAAAAATTGCGATTATGTTCGGATAATTCATCAACTAGTTAGTTAGTTTTGGCATCCACTGTAAGAAGCTTAAATCCTTGAACAAATCATAAAAGTTCTTCGGACTCAATTTTTATTCATCTTGAAGTAAAACAGATCTGTGGAATTGAGACCTAAGCTCAGCCATATTCCAGTAGCTGATACCCTTTTACAAGTTTACCCTAAATTTCTGCCTGCCATGGTTTTAATAAAGAAACATATTTCTTAAGACGTAGTGGCCTTGTTTTACGTCTCTGCTGAATGTCAGTGTCTTGTCAGTTTCTTGGATGAGGAAAAGAGATGACAGATCCAACACAGCAATGAATCACTCACTCAAGAGATTTCTTTACAAGAATTAGGCAGTTCTCCCTTACACAACATTCCTAATGGGGCTCTGGGTCCTGCAACACCCCTATTATATATTTTAAAGTCGCCTCTAGGTGAGAAACATCAACTATATAAAAATATAAATGCAGTTCAAGACTTTGAAAATCGTGTAAAGATGCCACCTTGTGCTTTAAGATCGCTCCCTATTTTGGGCAAGAAGCCCTGTAGCTGTCATATTTTTACTGATCATCTTTAATAATGTATTTTATTTATTTAGGCCATTTTTTAAATGTATTACTGTAAAATAAGAATTTATATATTATATTTAAAATGATCAGTTTGGCTCACTCAAATATAATAATAATAATAACAATAAATAATTAGATTAACTAATCACAAATAAATTTCCTAAATGTTGAGAATCTGAATAATTTGGTTATGTTTTGCTTCATCTTCCCCTAATGCATTTCTAAACTTCTATAACTTGAAATAGTCTTGCTAAGTTTATTCAATATTTTATTTTAAATAGTTAATGGAGTTTCTTTAATATTTTATTTTATTTACACCTGCCTCCTTAACTAGTGTTGGTGAGACCAGTGGCATAATTTATAGTCAGTATATGGTCCATATGGTCTGCATTTGGTCCAGATCACGTGCACACCACTGTGTGTAAATCTGTGTAAATATCCAATAAAACCAACAAGCAAAAAAATGGGACTTCAGGGGTCAAACATGACGCATGCGGACCTCCAGAGTCCACGGAGAGCTTGGTGGAAAAACATCACAACTCCCCTGACCTAGTGATATTATCCAAGCAACATAATGTGACTAAACTAGGATCTGTATAAACTGGGTTCACAAATGTTAATCATTACAAACTTCATATTAATGCATTAATATAATATGAGTTTAAGGCACATCTTTGAAAGCGTGCTTGTTCATAGTCCCTAAACTTGGATCCTTCATGCTGCTAAACTTTAAGAGTACTGTTGTGACAGTATACAAAGATTTATAGTGCAATAACTTTCTCTTTCCTCAGGGGGGTTTATGTGAATTCCAGTTTTATGTATTGTACATGCACTGAGATATAGTGCAGCCATGCATTGGTTTAGTTTGACAGTGCTGTGATGTCATGCTTACAGTGATGTCAAACGTTTTGAGTCTTGCATTTGAATGCATCTCACCCTTCACATGTCCATGTGTACTTTAATTAATTAGCACTTGAGTGTGTTAAGTGTCACATGTGTGCAAACAAATGATTTTCCAGCTTGTTCTCATATTAGTTGTTTTGTCTGTGGGAAGTAATCTATATTTTACTGTTCAGCTGGTTGGCGGATGGCGTTACTAGTGTTAAACACAAGGCCTTTCAAATGTGAAGTAATGCATGAAGCAGATGCAGTATTATGCACCTTGAGAGCTTCATGAGGCTTGCCAAATATCTGCCTGACTGTCTCAAAATCTCAAATCCTCAATCCTCTCTCTTTATCTTTGGAAAAACACAGCCAGAGATTTTCTCACACTGAACTTTACATACCTCCTTTTCCAAGTGTTTTCCAGTGTACTGTACCAACGCAAAACTAAACATGGACTGAATGGCCTCATACAGCCTTTGTCACAGCTTTAGTCACAAAGTTATATAGCTACAGCGCCCTCTGTTGATCAATGACTTAAAATATATTGTAATATTGTAGTTTTTATCAGCTTATGTTGGATATGTAATTGTGCAAGCTTATATTAACTTATTTTTACATGATGATCTTTACCATTATCTAATGCTTACTTAAAGTTAAAGTTAAACTAATTAAATCACTAATTTAATAACATTGTTAAACGTAATCTTTAGTAAATCAAAAATAAATATTCGTTTTTTGCAGTGTAATGTTGTGATGCCTAAATTCACAGCTTGATTAAAAAAAAAAAAAAAAAAAAAGTTATAATTTGTATATCTGACAATGATCAGAAATCGGTTATAACATAAAAATAATTATTGGCTTTTCAGTCAAATGTTTAATAGGTTGAAATGCTGAATAGGTTTTCGTAAAAAGCTCTTATTTAAAAAGTCTTATACAAAACCAAATATCATTTTCTTCCTCGTAATAGATGCTTGAAATCAATCAAGAACATATCAATGTAGTGTGTGAATAATTATCTTCGTACCTAAAACTGTCCGGTATTAATTGGTTCAATGAAACACAAATATTTGCCAAAGCAAATAATAGTTTTTATAAGTGACTGTTCTTAATTAGATGGGATGGGAAACACACAAATACAACGAAAACTATAAAAGAGAGAAAACATACTCTGAAATTTATAGCCATTTCAAAGGCTGCAGGAAATTCCTCACTGTACAAATTAAAACCTTCTTACAATAACTCCATGTGCCAACTACAAAATTTATGATCTATAAATATGGTAATTAAAACGTCACATGCTGATTTGGAGGTTGATTTATAAAGAAACGCCTTGCTTACATAGAGATTAATCACTGGTTAGCTTCAACCTGTTAACGTTTACTCAGAACATGTTGCCTTAAGCACTTTAGACGTTTTAGCCTTTAAATGTTGATGGAAAAAAACGTAAACTACGCTACATCTGCTTAGCAAACCTCTCTAAACAATCAAAATCCTCAAAAAGCAACACGTGACTGAACACGGAAGCGCACAAGTAGTGGACGCGCTGCAATCTCCGCTTAAAAACGTCTTTATTGGATCACGTAATAGACACGCACTAGTCCAGCAGCAGCTAAACTGTCAGGGAGCTGAACCTGTTCAGTCAGAAAGCCCTAAACAACGCGGAACACACATTAAACTCCATATTTCACTTAATTTAGCACATCTTCTGGTGAGTTTCTAAATGGAAATGTTTTGTTAAGTGCTTTGAATGCCAGTGAGAGGTGGAGGTTAATATGTGGGCTTTATCAAAGGGTGTTAGCCAGTAACACTTTCATTATGTTTGATTCTGTTGCTTTAATACTTAATAAGATACTTGTGTTTCAAGAGTCACTCGATAAACTACCAGCTAGGCCTCTTCTTCAAGTGTAAATGACATTGGCAATGTTAAGCAGGTTTTTTGTTTGTAAATCCTCGTGTATGACACGCTCATGGTCAGTTAATGTAAGTCGGTATAAGCTGGCCCAGTGCTAATATAGGCCGGGAAAGATGTGTCAGAAAAAAGTCATTTAGCTTAATTTATCTGAATACGCATAATAATTGAATTCAGCATCTGGTGATAAGTTCTTCCTGTAGAAAAGTACTATATTGGTACCATGTTACAGCTATGACGCAAGATGGTAATAGTGATCTGATGTATGCCATGGTGCTGAAATTCATGTTTCATTGTATTTACTCTAAAAAAAGGGTACTTAGTATGCTTTAAAATAATATACTTGAGTGTTAAATTTATATAGAATGCAACTAGTTGAGCTTAAGATTGCTTTTTTGACATAAGTAGGACTTCTTTTATATGTAATTTCATGACTTCTTCTATTGTCTTTGAAATATGATTAAAGTCTGCTGAATGTATGGACAATTTATGGTAAACTAAAATGTACCTTAATGCCATTAATGTTTAAACTTGTATGACATGTATTCAGATATATCTGTAATTACACATTTGAACAGATTTAGTTCTAGTTTAGTACATTTAAAACATATTTACTTAAATGCAATATTGAAAACACTGCAGTTAAAATTAAGTGCTTTAGCCAACACATTAAAATTCGTGTATTTCTTTGAAGGGATAGTTCACCCAAAAATGAAGATTACCCCATGATTTATTCACCCTCAAGCCATCCTAGGTGTATATGACTTTCTTCTTTCAGACGAATCCTATCGGAGTTATATTAAAAAATATCCTGTCTCTTCCAAGCTTTATAATGGCAGTGAGTGGGTGTTTTTTTTCAATAGTCCAAAAGAAGTCCAATAAAGCGCATCCATCCATAATAAAAAAGTGTCCCACACGGCTTCGGGGTGTGAATAAAGGCCTCCTGTAGCGAATCAATGCGTTTTTGTAAGAAAAATATCCATACTTAAAACTTTTTAAAACCGTAATATCTAGCTTGCGCTAACGGTCGTACGGGCGTTCATTCCGGTGGATGACGTAGGCGTAGTGTAATGGTGCGTTCAAGTCATGTCGGATAGATCGTATTTACGAGTTGAAAGCACATGAAAGCACCACAAAGTCGTTCTTATGAGTGGGAAACTTTTTAAAAAAATTTTCTTTAAGCCCCGAGTTTCCGAGTCAGTGAGAAACATGGCGGAATCGATGGATGCAACGTCTGTTGTTGATGGTAAATTTTTGTTGAAACTGATAGTTTAGTTGTCCTATAAACTTAAATTGGTCATGTTCTTGTTATATGCAGCAAGTTAATGAAATACAAGAAAAAATGATATAATTTCTGCACCTATAGGTGAGAAATCGTTTGATTGCCATGTTGCATTCGTTAACAGAATTTTCTTTTCTTTTTTTATTATTATTATAATTATATTATTATTTATAGCGTTTGTTGATGCTGAAAACCAGTTACACTGGGATCCTGGTCTGACAACACCAGTTTTCGTATGATACAGCTTGTCTTGTTCGAGATGCATCGGCTATTGGACTATTGAAAAAAAAAACACCCACTCACTGCCATTATAAAGCTTGGAAGAGCCAGGACATTTTTTAATATAACTAATATAAATATAAATCATGGGGTAATTTTCATTTTTGGGTGAACTATCCCTTTAAAGCATGACAAAAGAAAATAAAATGTACTTCATTTTATTATATTATCTACAAGTACAGTTTTAAAAAAATATACTTTAAAGATTCGAAATACACTACAAGTGAACATTCAATACAATTAAGTACATATTCAATACAATTTTCATGTGCATGTTATTCCAACAACAACAACAAAGATTTATTTTTGGGTAAAATTTTTCTGTAAAATTGTGGAAGTAAAATTTGCATGCTGGCAGATCTTGTAATATGAGGAATGTGAGGAAGTCATGTGGGATAGAGGCAATTATGTAGACTGTAGTATTAAAACGCATGGAGTTGACAACATTCCTGACTTGTCCTTTCAGTCATGGAGCAAGCGAAGCAGGAGGTCTTTGATCATGCCAGGCTGCAGGTAATCAACGATGGGTACGAGAAGGCATTTGCGTGCATCAATAAAGGTCTCACAGAGGATGAGGTGGGCCACAGTGGAGAGGCGCTAAAACTCTACCGGCAAGGGCGGCAACACCTCCTCAGGGCTCTCAGTGTTCCCTCACAGGGCATGGAGTGTGTGGGTCCCTCCTGGGAATCGGCTAGGCAGATGCAACACAAGATGCAGGAGACCCTCAACAGCATCACCACTCGCCTAGCCATGCTGGAAACCAGCCCAGACCCCAACAGAGTCTCGGATAGCAGTGCAGCCCCTCAGAAACTCTACCCTGAAGTCCCAAAGGTCAAGCCGGAGAGGCCGACTCCACCACAGATGCTCGCTTCCAACGGCGGGGTTGCAGGGGCTTCGGGTGGGCCTGTTCCGGTCTCTCCCTCAATGCAGCCCAATATGTTAAGCGACCAGCCTCCTGCATACACCGCTCAAGCCGCTGATGGACACCTGTCCATTTCCTACGGCACCGTCTCAGGCGAGCTCTCCCTGGTTGGCGATGAGTTCTACAACCATACGTCTAATTCTACACCACCTCCTCAGTGTCTGGGGGAGGATGGAGAGGAACTCTTTTTCCTTCCTCAAGGGGTGCAGATCTTCTTTGTTACACCTGAGGGGCAAGTCAGTGCTCCCTCTTACCCAGGGTACCTGCGCATTGTAAAGTTTACCAGTGAGCTATCAGAAAGGATTCCAAACAGGCCACCCGCCTTCCTACAGGTAAGAAATCACAAGCTGTGTTACTTAGTTATTCTTCATATGCCTGAAAGAGAGAATCTCACAAAGAAATGTCCAGCTTGTTCATATTCAACACACAAAAAAAAAAAA